TGTGAAGATGTTAATTATCCTCAAAGCATTCTGTAATTTCAGTGCAATTCCAATGAAAATCCCAGAAGGATTTTTCATGAAACTTGACATACTGAATCTAAAATTTGTATGAAAAATCACAGGGGGAAAATAGTCAAGATATTCCTGATGAAAAAGATCAGTGGGTGAGGAGACTTGTCCTACCAGATATCAAGTGTTACTATAAAGTTATAAGAATTAATATGGTGCAGCATAGGTACAGGGACAGATAAACTGATCCCAGTGGAACAGAGTAGAGAGCCTAGAAATAGACTTACGTATTTATGGAAACTTGATACCTGAGAGATTTGGCATGGTTGATCAGTGAAGAAAGTGGGGTGAGACAACTGGTTAATATGTACCAAAGTCAATTCCCAACATATTAAAAACTCAAAGTGCCAGGAAAAACTTTACAACTTTTAAAAGAATGTATTGGGCAATATCTTTGTGACTTCAAGGAAGGAAGGATTTTTAAACCAAGAAACAAAAAGGGCTAACCATAAAAAAAAAAGGCGGATAAGGTCAACATTATTACAATCAAGAACTTTTGTTCAAAACGACAACATGAAGATAAGAAAGCATAAGACACAAACTGGGAGAGGCTACTTACAACACACACAGCTGATAAAAGATGAGCGTCTAGAATATATGAAGAACTCTTATGAATTGAGAGAGTGAGCTTGCAATCGAAAATGGAGTAAAAGACATGGACAGCTATTTCACAGAAGAGAAACACATAACAAATAACCCATGAGAAGATGTCCAACTTCATTAGTAATTCGGGAAATGCAAATTAAGATTACAACATGATAATGTTCTACCCAGTTGATTAGCAACAATTAAGAAATTTGATAGTATAACATTGGTGAAGGTGTGGATAATGGGACTATAATACATTGCTGGTGTATAAGTTGTTACAATCACTTTGGGAAACAATTTGGCACTATCTTATGAAGCTGAATATTCACATACCCTGTGACATAGCAAATCTCCTCCAAGGTAAATACCCTGTAGAAATCCTTAAATATACATAGCAAGAATGATCATAAAGCAAAAACAAACAAAACCAAACCAAAAGCAAACTGAAGTGTTCATCAACAGAAAAGAAATTGCAGCTACACAGATCAGCATGGATGAATCTTAAAAACCTATTGAGTGAAGGCTGGAGATTATGCTCTTGGGGAACATCTAGGTCAGTTGGTATAACATAGTTCATAAAAAAAAAGTTCTACTTCCTGCTTTGGTGTATAGTGTTTGGGGTCTTAAAAGCTTGCGAGCGGCCATCTAAGGTACGTCTATTGGTCTCATCACATTTGGAGCAAACGAGAATGAAGAAAATCAAACACACAAGGAAAATATTAGTCCAAAGGACTAAATGGACCACATGAACCACACCCTCCACCAGCCTGAGCCCAGAGGAGCTAGATGGTGCCTGGCTACCACCACTGACACTCTCACAGGGATCACAATAGAGGGTCCTGGACAGAGCAGGAGAAAACTGTAGAACAAAATTTAAATTCATGAAAAAAGACCAGATTTACTGGTCTGACAAAGACCAGAGGAACCCACAAGACTATGGCCTCAGATACCCTGCTAACTCAGAACTAAAGCTACGTGCTTCTTAGATCGATCAAGTATATGAGACCGAAGGAGCAACACCTGCCCAAAATCAAAGATGAGAAGGCAGGAAGGGACAGGAAAACTGGACAAATGGAAATGGGGAATCCAGGATGGAAAGGGGGAGAGCACTGAGACACTGCGGGGATTGCAACCAACATCACAAAACAGTTTGTATATAAATTTTTGAATGAGAAACTAATTTGCTCTGTAAACTTTCACCTAAAGCACACACGCAGTTAAGCATACATCTGCTATATGACCCAGCCATCCCACACCTGGGTATTTACCCAGGAGAAATGAAAACATATGTCCCCACAAAGACTTGTATATGAATAGATACAGCAACTTTACTTGTAACAGCCAAAAACTGGAAACAACCCAAATGTTTGTCAATAGGTGAATATATAAACCAATTGTGGTATGGTATGTTTGTACACTAGAATACTATACAGCAATAAAAAGGAATAAACTACTGATACAGACAACATCATGGATGAATCTTAAAATAATTGTGCGCAGTGAAAGAAACTAGACAAAAAAGAGTACATACTGTATGATTCTATTTATATAAAAGTCTAAGAAAGGCAAACTAGTCTATAGTAACAGGAAGTTGGTCAGTGGATGCCTGGAGAAGAAGTGAGGGAAGGTAGGAACTACAAAGGAGCATGAGGAAATTTGGGGGGCAATTATTAGGTTTATTACATTAATTCTGGTGATGGTTTCATTGATGTATTCATTTGTCAAATTGTATACTTTAAATATATGGGCAATTTATTGAATGTCAATTATACCTCAAAAAAGCTATAAAAAGTCAAAAAAAGAAAGAAAAAAAAGGATGAGTTGCATTCATAAGGTTTCTCTGCTGTATGAGCCCCCTGATGGCTGAATCAATATAGATTGGCAAGTAAAGTTTCTGCTACACTGATTACAAAGGGGGAAAAGAAAATACTGAGTGAAAAAAAAAAAACCACAAAAGACTAAAAGCAATGTGATATCATTTTTATAAAAGCTCAAAAGCAGATAAAACAAAACGATGTGTTACTTAGAATACACAAAAAATGTAAAAATATTATTTTTAAAAGGGGTAAAGGAATGACGACCAAAATTTCAGGGTAGACATCACCTCTGATGGAGAGGCAGGTGGATGGGAAAGGACGTGCAATAGTACTGACTATGTTCTGGTTCTGATAGTTGGTAGCAGGTTCATGGAGTTCACTTTATTATTTCTTAACCTACATCAAGGTTTCTCAGTCTTGACACTACTGGCATTATGGGCTGGGTAATTCTTTGTTGTAGAGTGCTGTCCTTTGCATTGTAGTAGGTTTAGCAGCATCCCTGGCCTTTACCTACTAGATGCCAGTAGCATTCCCCACTCAGTTGTGATAACCAAAAAAAAAAAAAAAAACAACTCCAAATATTGCCAAATGTCCCCCGGGGAGCAAAATTGCCCCTGGTTGAGAACCACTAGTCTGCATATATGTATCTGAATGTTTTAAAAATTTCCATATTAAAACAAAATTTTAAAGTGGTGGGTAGAAGTTTCACCCTGTCTGTGAAGCCTGAGTAGGAAACGATCATTAATAGCTGAGAAATCCAGAGCCTGCAGAAGGCCGTTGAAGTGACAGTTCAGAGCCGTGTGAGCTGACAGTTTCAGGAGGGTTTTGACTAGCAGGTGATATTTCTAGAAATGATACTGGGTATCAGGAAATCAACGACTCCATATACACTGGAGGAAAATTTCTGCAACCTTTCTCAATTCTTTGGGAAATCCAAAAGCTTACTTTAGGCTTTTAGAACTCTGATATATAATTTTTTTAATCTATTATTTATTTTAAAAAACAAACAGAGCCTTTTGTTTACATAACCCCTTTCTTCTATAGAACTAAAAGAAGCCCATGTATTTTACTACATTTAATCCTTAGAACAGGATTTCATTTTACATGGATCCACAATCAATGTCCATGGAAGCAACAGTCAAGAAATCAAACGATGTATTGGCTGGGCGAATCTGCTGCAAAAAACTTCTTTAAAGTGTTAAAACACAAAGATGTCACTTTGAGGACTAAGGTGTGCCTGACCCAAACCATAGTATTTTCAATCACTTCATATACATGCAAAAGCTGGACAATGAATAAAGGAAAACCGAAAAAGAACTGATGTCTTTGAATCATGGTGTTGACAGAGTATTGAATATACCGTGGACTTCCAGAAAAATGAACAAATCTGTCTTGGAAGAAGTACAGCCAGAATGCTTATTAGAAGCAAGGATGGCAAAACTTCATCTCAAGTACTTTGGACATGTTATCAGGAGGGATCAATCCCTGGAGAAGGACATCATGCTTGGTAAAGTAGAGGGTCAGCAAAAGAGAGGAATACCCTCAAGGAGGTGGATCGACACAGTGGCTGCAACAATGGGCTCAAACATAATAATGATTGTGAGGATGGCACAGGAACATGCACGGTTTTGTTCTGTTGTACACAGGGTCACTATGAGTCGGAACCAACTCGACGGCACCTAACACACAACAACAATCCTTAAAGCATCCCTTTGAGGGGTTGGCTATGAATTCAAAGTCACCACACGTCTAACTGTGACCCCTCAACAACTGGGATAACTCCAGGAACAAGATCCAGATAACAGTGTTAACACCACTGTTGTAGGACAACGAGTGCCTGAGATCCCACACGTACTACCGTGCCTTATAAATCTATAAATCTGAGAGGCTCCCCAGCTACGTGATGCTACTCTATAGCACCTGTCTGGTTTTTATGCTTGCACTACAGGCCCCTTTAACTCCTCATGGGGAGAGTTTATTACCCTCATTTTAAAAGTGAAGAAACATATAGACACAAAGAGAATATATGACTTTTTCAAAATAACATAACCAAGAGTAATTGATTAGAAATAGAACTGTCAGGAAATTCAGGTCTCCTGAGTCTTGGACTGTATGTTCTTTTCAGTAGGCTCTGAACTGTGTTTGGGCATGTGTGAGCATGCATGTGTGTACGTGTGTGTATGTCTGCAGTTTGGGGTGCATGTGTGTTCCTCTGAGGACAAGCTGTCAAGGAGAAGAAAAGACCAAGGACTGAAGAGAAGAACTAGGAGGAAGGGCATGGTAGAAAGAGCATCAGATTCAGAAGATGCTTTGGGCAAGTCCTCTCTGGTTCTCAGAATCTTTAAGTGTAAAAACTCATAGAATGATTGCAAACACTAAATGAAATATGTATTTTATGTTTCTGTGTACAAACATTAGTGATTATCATTATTAGAACTATTATTAAAAATGTCATATGGATGATAAAGCAACCCTCACAGAGGGGATGACTCACATTTTCTTAATTTTCTTAGTACTAGTTCTTACCATATGTCCAGCTCTGAAGAATATTCAGTGGCTCCCAGCAAGGCATCTGGAGGGCGGTACCAGAGGGTTACAACTTCTGAAGAGTACGTCTGGCTGGGAATGGACTTGGCCCGAGCAAGACCTGTCCAAAGGGGAAAAGCACAGAACCCTTTATCCTGGGACTTGCTGCAGAGACATAGTGGTGTATTGTACCATGGAGAGTGTAACTGGTAAACAACATTTTAAAAATAATGTACAAACTTTGGGTGTTTTTAATAGAACTACTCAGCTATTTTGCACCCTGTGTACCACTTTATCTAGGGAATTTCTCAATTATTGGATTTGCAATTAGATGCGGCCTTCCTGGCATCTAGGTGTGGTCAGGTGATTGAGTACTAGCCTATATGATATGAGTAGAAGTAACGTATGAATTTCCAGATCATGTCCTTAATGGAGGGGTCAAATGTTCCACTTCCCTTTTCTCTTTCCTCTGGGCTGGAATGAGAAGAAGGTGGCAGCCATCTTGCAATAGGGAGTTGGGGAAATACCCTAGGGATGGTGAGGCCTCATGACCAAAGGAACTTGGGCCAAGACACGCAGGGCCACTATACAAACCCTGAATGGCTTAGGGTGAACTGTTATGTGAGAGGAAGTTAAGCTTCTAAATTGTTTAAGCCTCTCTAGTTCTGGGTCTCTACTACAGCAACTGAACTCTGTTCTAATATGGCTGCTCTTCATTTTTGCAGTCCAGGAACGTGCAGGTTAGAGGATAAACAGTGGAGACTGCTAATACAAATTAGTTTGGTAGGACCTTATAAGTCTCTCTCAAGGGCTCCTCTGCAAAATGAGTTTATTTTTGTCAGCCGGCCACTTATAAAATCACATGATCTATAGCTAGAAAGGAGCTCTGGTGGCATAGTGGTGAAATGCTACGGCTGCTAACCAAAAAGGTTGGCATTTCGAATCCACCAGCTGCTCCTTGCAAACCCTTTGGGCAGTTCTAATCTGTTCTATAGGGTCACTATGAGTAGGAATCAACTCAACAGCAATGGGTTTGTTTTTTGTATAGCTAGAAAGGACCTCAATAGATGAGTTTTCTGTTATGGAGAATTGAGAAACGAATGTCTGTTAAATGCTTACATGTCAGGATGAAAGCCGCTATCTCAGAATAAAGTGCCATAGGTATAGTATCACCGTTTGACGTATGTCAAACAAAGAGGAATGATTCCTCAGCCCAGGTGGAACCAGTTTTCAACAAAAACTTACTGAGCACCTGCTATGGGATATAGTGATAAGCAAAAACACATCTGGGCCCTGCCCTCAAAATGCTTACAGTCTAGTAGAAGAGACAAAATCATTACATGGAGATATCCTTTCTCTTGTCATCCTGGGATAACATTGATCTATTCTGATAGAATTTGTATATATGCTCAGATTCAGTGAAACCTACTAAGTATAATTCACTCTACAGATATCACTATATCAAAAATGGCAGTGAGATATAAGGGTGCCCAAGTTTTGGGCATCTGATTGGATAGGGTCTTGATGGAATCCTAAGAAGCTACCCATCTCCCCCTCTTTCTTGCCTCACACTTCCTGTATGGTAGTTTGATATCCCCACAAAGCATCATGTTCCCTTGGCCTCCGGTTTTCAAAGACCAGGCCTAGTCAATGCTTTAAACATGTGCACACAAAAGCATCATTGTTCACAGGCCAGAAGGAGACCCCAGGGGGAGCTTACCAAAATCAGCCAGTTTGAGCTCTCCCAGGTGACTGATGAGTAAGTTCTGAGGTTTCAGGTCCCTGTGAAGAACGTGTTGGTGGTGGATGTATGCCAGGCCCCGCAAAAGTTGAAACATGAAAAGCTGGAAGGAATGAATACCATACTAAGCAGATTTGAGCCACTATATGTTGATTTCCCCTCTAAATCAAAAACAGTTGTCTGAAAGAATATAGTAAAAAGTGTCTCTTGAGAAACTAAAAATAAATGAAATTTTACATTCAGGGAGAGAGAGAGAAAAAAACAACACAAGGAAAGGCAAGCAACTTGATCATGTTCTAAACAAAGGGATTCTAGCTTTTCCTGACATCTCATTTCTTTGATAATGAAAAAATTACCCTTCCTTAAAAATCTAAAGTGAGACTTTGAAGCTTCATTTGGAACACTAGTTATTGATTTAAACGTGAAAGATTTTTTTTTTTTTTTTTTAATTCTTTTCCCACCAATGAACTTGGCATTTAAGATCAAAGTTGACCTGGAAATTATATTTTAAGATTTACAACTGCTTAAGTTTTCCAGGCTCTCTGATATGAAACTCTTTAAAAAACACTACACAAGAAGACTAGACTGGGAAACATATCCTTAGATGCTATTAGGAAATAAAGGAATCATTATCTTTTTAAACCTATTTTTAGAGTCTTAAGTTCAAAGTTGAAAACAAGGGAAATATGTACTACAGATTGACAGAGAAGAGAAACCAAAAGAAATTTGATATCTTCTTGACCCCTCCCCTTAATAAAAAAAATCAAAAGAGAAAAAGGAATAAACAGTAGAGGGAAAAGAGAAGAAAGAGAGAGAGAGAGGAAAAAAAAAAAAAAACCAGGAAAAATACACTCTGGGACCAAATTTAAAAATGTTTCACATGGGTATGAGGCACAGAAACCAAAGACACTATTAGGTTCCCACCAATATAGAAGTTTAAGAAATGAAAGAATGCTTAAGTGTCTTTTGCTATTTTCCAGTGCCACTGGCAATTGAGAATTCAAATACCAACATTAGTGAAAGGTCTATGCCAACTGAAAACATGTTCTGGCAGTTTAGAAAAGAAAGAGCCAGCTCCAGCATTCCTGGCAACACAGGCAAAAAGGCAGATGCAGAGCTGTGTGGATGAATCTTTTTCCATCGCGTCTTGGAAACTAGGAACTTCAGAGATGCTGGGACCTGTACCGAGTTAACAATGGCATGGAGAAAATGGAGCCAAGTTAATAAGCAGCATGGTCTGATACTGAAACGGGAGCCTGGAGAGTTTACCTGTCACAGCACACCTGTGGCTGTGGACATGCCATTTAGGTCCCACATCAGGTGCACAAGCCACTTAAGAAAGTTATGAACGTCTTGTGACCCCTATTTCAAATGTTCACTGGCTCTGTGAGTCTCCCCAACACTTTCTCTCCCTGGTGCTTCAAACACACACACTGTTCATTTTACCATTTACCATTCCACTAGGCTACCACAGCACAAAATTCATATACTGACATTTAAACACACCACTTGGTTATAAATATAAATGTTCATGGGAAAGATAAAGAATCAACTTAAATTCCAGGTAAAAGAGAAGATACTATGTGTTTTAAAATATGTTTTTCTATATGAAGGGAATAAAGAAAGAAGGAACTGGAGACAGGTAAGCAACAAAAGGTAGAAAGGTGGAGACAGGTGAAGGATAGATGAAAGAAGAAAGGGAAAAATAACATTATTAAATGCCTACTGTCTTTTGTAATCCTCAATACTACCCTGTCAGGTAGATATGCTTGCCCTCCTCACTTTACAGATAAGAAAACTAGGGCCCAAAGAAGATTTAAAAACATGTGTAGGAAGAGTTGGGGCCAGGACTCAAATTCAGACCTGCATGGCTCCATGACACCCTCCTAACAAACTGGAGAAAAGACAGAAAATTAAAAAATGACAGGGAAGGAGAGAGTCGGCTGGCTGAGTCAGAGACGAGCTTCTTAGTGGGTCAGCCTGAAATGTCTTTCATGTCCCAAGTATAGACTGTTCTCACTAATTAGTAACACTCACCTCCCACTTTCTTGCTCTTCTGTTCCTTTCCTCTCTGCCTCCATGTACATCGACAAGCATTTGTAAATGGTAAAGCACTGAGGTGTTAAGGTCTGGTATTGCATAGTCACACTTCTCAAAACTGCAGTCTGTGCTGACTAACCTCACCACCCACTCACTCTTTTATCCCTTGCAATCTGGATTCTTCCTTTAACATTGCTGAAGCTTCACCAATGACTCCCTCATAATATAAACAAATCCAATGGTGTTTTCTCAGTCAACATCAAGACAGATAATGGGTGACTCTTTCCAGAGAGGCTTCCTATACCCCAGTGGTTGGCACTGTTTCCAACACAATGAGGATCTTAGGAATAAAATAATGCCACTGGGAAAGTGCCATCTGGGCTAGGAGTCCCTCAAAAACATAATCAGATAGGTCACTACCAACTCCTCCTAGGGAAGCCTGTGTCCTTCCATCCATTAGACATCCTTGGGGCTCATTGTATTAGAAACTGGAAACAGGCTAACCTCACTATGATCTCCATCCTGTCTTCCTTGGTCACTGTCTTGGGCTGGGTTCTCTAGAGAAGCAAAACCAGTAAAGTGTATAAATATATATATAGAGAGAGAGATTATATCAAGGAAACAGCTCACGCAATTGTAGAGGCTAGAATGTCCCAAGTCCGTGGAACAGGGTA